CATATACACGGGAAAAACTATCATATAACACGGGGAAACTATCATTAAGAGGGGGAAAACTATCATATAACAGGGGAAAACTATCATATAACACGGGGAAAACTATCATATAACACGGGGAAAACTATCATATAACACGGGGAAAACTATCACATAACACTTGGAAACTATCATATAACACGGGGAAACTATCATATAACACGGGGAAACTATCATATAACACGGGGAAACTATCATATAACACGGGGAAACTATCATAAACACGGGAAAAACTACATATAACACGGGGAAAACTATCATATAACCGGGGAACTATCATATAACACGGGAAGCATCATAAAAACCACGGGGAAACTATCATATAACACGAGGAAAACTATCATAAACAAGGGGAGACTATCATATAACACGGGGAAAACTATTATATAACACGGGGAAAACTATCATATAACACGGGGAAACTATCATATAACACGGGGAAACTATCATATAACACGGGGAAAACTATCATATAACACGGGGAAACTATCATATAACACGGGGAAACTATCATATAACACATGGAAACTATCATATAACACGGGGAAACTATCATATAACACGGGGAAACTATTATATAACACGGGGAAACTATCATATAACACGGGGAAACTATCATATAACACGGGGAAACTATCATATAACACGGGGAAACTATCATATAACACGGGGAAACTATCATATAACACTTGGAAAACTGTCATATAACACGGGGAAACTATCATATAACACGGGGAAACTATCATATAACACTGGGAAAACTATCATATAACACTGAAAAAACATCAGTGTAACAAAATACAATGGTAAAGAGTTCTTTGATTTATGGAAGTTTAGTGGTTTTTCCCCTTCCTTGGATCAAACCTAATTGTCTCCCATTTTCCAGGGGTTGTTTGACTCTCACGGGTTTATGCGTCACTATGAATGTAATGTGAATCACCTGTGTCTAGCACTAGATGAGAACATTCAAACCTGGGGATTGAAATGAACGGTCGTTAGGTTAAGTTAGGCTAAGTTAGCATAGGTTAGGTTAGATAGACTATTTTAGGTTTGATTAGGCTAGGTTAGATTACATTACGTTAGGCTAAGTTAGGTTCGATTAGGTTAGGCTAGGTTAGGTTAAATTAGGTTACATTAAGTTAGGCTAGGTTAAGTTAGGCTAGGTTAGGTTAGGATAAGCTAGGCTAGATTAGATTCGGTTAGCCTAGGTTAGGTTAAATTCGGTTAGGTTATGTTAAGTTAGGATAAGTTAGGTTATGATAAGCTAGGATAGATTAGGTTAGGTCAATTTAAGCTAGGTTAGGTTAGATTCGGTTAGGTTATTAAGTTAGATTAGGTTTAATTAGGTTAAGTTACGTTAGGTTAGATTCGGTTAATTAAGGTTAGGTTAAGTTAGGTTAGGTAAGGTTATTAGGTTAGGTTAGATTATTAAGTTAGGTTAGGTTAGGGTATTAGGTTAGGTTAAGGTGGGTTTGATTAAGTTAGGTTAGGGTATTAAGTTAGGTTATGTTTAGGATCAGGGCCTGATCAACCGGTCAGGTACTGACCGGCTGGTCAGGTACTGACTTTAGGTGCCTGTCCAATGCCTTCTTGAAGACTGCCAGGGGTCTATTGGTAATCCCCCTTATGTATGCTGCGAGGCAGTTGAACAGTTTTGGGTCCCTGACACTTATTGTGTTGTTTCTTATCGTGCTAGAGGCGCCCCTCCTTTTCATTGGGGGAATGTTGCATCGTCTACCGAGTCTTTTGCTTTCGTAGGGAGTGATTTTCGTGTGCAAATTTGGTACTAATCCCTCTAGGATTTTCCAAGTGTATATAATCATGTATCTCACCCGCCTGCGTTCTAGGGAGTACAGATTGAGGAACTTCAAGCGTTCCCAGTAACTGAGGTGTTTTATCGCAGTTATGTGTGCCGTAAAGGTTCTCTGTACATTTTCTAGGTCAGCTATTTCACCTGCCTTGAAAAGTGTGCAGCAATATGCCAGTCTAGGTAGAGTTAAGTTAGGTTATTATAGAAGTCACTATGTCTGACTGCTTGTTTAAAACTGTCTCCACTGCACCACTCACTTAACAATAAAAAGAGAATTTATGTAATAATTGATATTCTTTTGCCTGTTATCATCCAGATAAGAAATATTCACAAATACTTTTTTCCTGGGCAATAGACGATATCGTGACTGTTATTTATAACATAAAATATTAATGGTTTCTCTCCTGGGTAAAATATACGTGATGACCACAAAATATGACTTGGACGAACACTCTAGGTGATTTATAGGTATGTTAAACTATGTATGATAATTGTACTTACGTGTACCTGTACCTAGATAAACTTACTACTTACTTACACTCCACTTAGGTTAGGTTCATCAGGAAGCAGGACAAGTGTTTCCTGACGAGCTTTTGGTCACCTGACCGAGGACTTCCACTGGCTTACCAGTCTATCCCTTTAAAATATATA